TTATTTTTTTGTTGTGTGTGTGTGTGTGTGTGTGTGTGTGTGTGTGTGAGAGAGAGAGAGAGAGAGAGAGAGAGACTGCAGTGTCAGTGAAAGATGGCAGGCCAGCAGCCCCGGTACTTATCCATACTCAACTTTCAAATCGGTTAGTGGGACACATTTGGCACTGCCTTCTGGATAATAGGAACAGCTGTAGCCAATATGGCTTCGGAAACAGCCAAACCACTGTTGAGAAAATTAGAATTTGTCAATTTTCAAAATTAGAATGAAATAAAAGTACAAACGAATCAATCTGTAAAGAACGATAGAAACGTTTACCGTGCTTTTAATCCTCAAAATGTTTTGCAACTAGTCTCAGCTGGGTGAGTGTTATCCCTCATTGCACAGGTGGGCAAACTGAGGCAGAGAGGGGCAGCGATATGCCAAGCTGATTGGAAAAATGGCAAAAAATCCATCATTTTTCCCCATAAAACAAATGTCATCATAATTTTAAATCTTTGCAAACCACTTCCTAGTGGTAGTGCTATGCTGAAGGGAAGCAGCACTTACACGGCCTGCGCTGTGTGTTGGTGGGATGGAGCGTGTACCCGACACAGGCTATGCATGGATTAAATGTGGCTGTGAGGCCAGTTCTGTTAGCGGGCTGCACCTGGAGGCAGAGCCAGGCTTAATTGATTATGAGGCCCAGCTGGGCAGAAGCCTGGCTTGTACAAGGAGAAGAAGTTTGTAGCAGAAGGGGGCTGTAATGGGGGAGTCTGCAGCCACCATCTGGGAGCAGACAAATGGTGAGGAGGAAACCAGGGGTGAATAAACCCTGAATCCTAGCCCTGGAAGAAGGGCCAACCCAGAGAAGTTGTGGGGAAAGGGAGCCTGGGAGAGGCTGGGTAGGAAGGAGCCCAGGGAAACAACAGCAAGGAGGGGGATGGGGCAGACCGTGGCTGCTGGTTATAGGCTCCCTGGGCTGGAACCCTGTGTAGAGGGAGGGCCTGGCTTCCTTACCAGCCACTGACCAAAGAGGCATGAGCCCAGAGCCCGGGCTGGAGACCTGACACAACACCTAGGAATTACTTGTTGGACTTTATCATCAAATATCGACAAACATCGTCGCCTGGCAGGCGGGAAGCGAGGCCGCCACAGCACCGGAACAACTGTCAGCAGGGGGCACCGTATGGGGAGAGAGCTGCTACGCCACCCCCGGCTCCAGCGGTGAGTGACCCCTTTGCCATCAGGGGCTGTTGTTCTGTTCTAGGTTTGTGCGGTGCCCAGCCCAGCTGGTGCCCAGTCAGCACAAGACCCCAGCTCGTGTAGAGTGCAGCAGTGACTGGGGCCAGGGCTCGCAGGCTGGCGGGTGGGCCTCTCGCCGCCTTCCCAGCTGCGCAGCGGAGCTGGGACAAAGCGTGAAAGCCGGGCACAGGCCGAACTTAAAACTGGACATGCAGGGGTTAAATTGAGAGGTGCAGCTCCCCCCTTCTCTCTGGCTTGGCTAAGCAGCACCCCTAGAGGACTGCACCCCCATTGACTGGTGGCATGAGAGCACCCCCTGCAGTTTAACTGCTGCTGACATGCCATGCCCTAGTTCAGCTGGCTGCTGCGGTTCCCGGCCAGGGTGGAGGGAGCGGAAGTACATGGAGCATTGCAGTTGTGTTTCTTGGTGACTGGCCTTTGCCGTTTGAAATGGGGAAAGATCCAAATGGAACGACCCAGGCACAGAGCCGGGTGTAAACGCTGCCGCCTTAGAACTACCCGGGGACTTCGCACGCTGACACAACCGCAACCCCCAGGCCTAAGCTCGCCCCTCAGTTCCAGGTGGTGTGAGTGTGACTGTCACTTTAACTGGGAGGAGGGGGGGGCAACACGGGCATGGGGCTCCAGCGAAACTCTCTATTGCTAGGAAAGGAAAAGGCCTGTTCACCCTACTGCGGGGTTCTCAACCTTTTTCTTTCAGAGCCCCCCTCAACGTGCTATGAAAAACTCCAGGGCCCAGTGTGGGGGTGGTGCTGAGGGGCCAGGGGGGGGACACCCTTGGGTGTAGGTGTAGTTTGATTTTTATTTTGGGGAGCCAGCTCCACATGGTAGGGTCCAGGGAGGGAGCGCCACCCCCTCCCCCAACTCACCTCAGCAGGCCACACACCTGGCTGGGTTGTGCGGGGATGCAACCAAAAATTATAATTTGAAGGATGGGGGGGGCTCAGCTCAAAGAGTTTGAAAACCGCTCAGGGTGCAGGGAGGGGTAGCTAGGGGCTGGGTGCAGGCAGGGGGTAGCTAGGGACTGTGTGCAGACGGGGGGTAGCTCAGGGCACAGAGGGTACCCTAGGGTAGCTAGGGGCTGTGTGCGGGCAGTGGGGTACCTCAGGGTGCAGGCAGGGGGTAGCTAGGGGCTGTGTGCGGGCAGGGGGTAGCTCAGGGTGCGGGCAGGGGTAGTTAGGGGCTGTGTGCAGACGGATAGCTCAGGGTGCAGGCAGGGAGTAGCTAGGGGCTGTGTGCAGGGAGGGGGTAGCTAGGGCTGTGTGCAGATGGTAGCTCAGGGTGCAGGCAGAGGGGTAGCTCAGGGTGCAGGCAGAGGGGTAGCTAGGGCTATGTGCGGGCAGGGGGGTAGCTAGGGGCTGTGCAGGCAGGGAGTAGCTAGGGCCATGTGCGGGCAGGGGGGTAGCTCAGGGCACAGAGGGTACCCTAGGGTAGCTCGGAGCTCTGTGCTAGGAGGACTCCCCCTACTGTGGCGGCTCCCCAAGGGCTCTGCCGGCCCTGGAGCTGGGCCTCTCACCCGGGTGGCTCTGACTCCCTGCATGAGCAAAGGGAGCTGGGAGCTGCGGAGTAGCCGCAACCCTGGGTACCAGCAGCAGACGGAGGAATGCTCTGGCTGCCTGCTCCATGGCACCACCAGCAGAGGAGCAGCTGCCCCACACTGCCTGGCTCTGGCTTCCACCTACCACCTGGCCAGAGGGCCAGAGCTGGGGGAGAGGAGGCGGTGGGAGTGGAGCTGACCATGGACTGCCCCACTCTGCGAAAGGCACCGCAGTGTCGGGGGCTACAGCCTTGTGCCCACCCCCAACTCCGCCCATGGGTTCATGGCTTCTGCCCATGGGGAGCGCCAGGGCTTGGGTTTCAGCTGTGGGGCCCTGCAACCCCCCACCCGTGAGCCCTTTCTCATTTTGATGTGTGTATTTTCTGACGGCTTGTGATGTGAAAATCCTTCTCTGCTAGGGGAAATTCCAGCCGGGGGTATATTTCTGTGTCCGTGCGGACTGGAACCACAGCATCTATTTCACGTACGTGGATGTAGGCAGTCTGCTGACCAGATTGCAAGGCTTGTCTAGACCTCCCGCAGCTTCTGGAGTGGAAAAATATTTGTGGATATAACTATTATTTAGAAAATTATCTTTGGCTCAGAAATTAGGGTCATTTTTTCCATAGTGCGTTCCTCTGTAAGGGCCGTGGAACTCAGGAACCAAGTTCCCATTGATTCTAAATGTTGGAATCCCATTGATTCTAAATGTTCTAATGTGTCCTGGCCAATTCATCACGTGAAATTTACCTGCCAAGGAACAAGACTAATTAGCCTGCCCTTCTCATGATGAGCAACTTACCTGTCACACAAACTCTGGCTCTTTAAGGGAGTAGACCAGGGGTCGGCAACCTTTCAGAAGCGGTGTGCCGAGTCTTCATTTATTCACTCTGATTGAAGGTTTCCCCTGCCAGTCATACATTTTAACCTTTTTAGAAGGTCTCTTTCTATAAGTCTATATTATATAACTAAACTATTGTTGTATGTAAAGTAAATACGATTTTTAAAATGTTTAAGAAGCTTCATTTAAAATTAAATTAAAATGCAGAGCCCCCTGGACCAGTGGCCAGGATCCGTGCCACTGAAAATCCGCTCGCGTGCCATAGGTTGCCCACCCCTGGAGTAGACTTTTGCAAGGCTGCTTTCGAAGGCCATCTGTGGGGGACAGGCCCAGAGCTTGCTGTGAAAGGGCATAACAAACAGAAGCCGTGTCTCGCCCTGCTGCCTTCGAATCCTTCCTCATTCTCATGTAATTTTTAAATTATTGTTGCCTATTCCAGGAAAGCGCTGCCCTGGAATTATGGCTCTTTGGCTCTTCACAGGGTCTATTCTCTTTCAGCCTGTCTAGCTGCCAATCTGTGTTCCCAAAAGGGAAGAGTCCGCGTTCTCCCTCCTGCCACCCGGCATTAGATCAGTACACAGAGTGTGCCAGTTTTCCAATGGTTGGGTAGGTTTTTGGTTTTTTTTATTCTTTCACTTCTCTGCTTTCAAAATAAATCAATGGGAAGTGACAGATCTGTGGCTGGTTTTCTCTGGGAGGGAGCAAAGCTTAGCCCCATTGGCACTGGGATCGGACCTGCCTGCCTTCTGCTCCAACTCAGCCGTCTGTCTGTGTGTGAGAGACTTTCCCCCTCCCTCAGTGCCACAAAGTAACCCCCCCCCCCGCAAGGGAATAAAAAGTTTAACTAGAGAAAGCCCTGAGACAGCTGCTTGGGATTTTGTCACCAAAACTGCCTCCCCCCCGCCAACAGAAAAAGCAGGTTCAGCTAAACCGAAACTTTTCACAGGAAAACGTGTCCGGCATTTGGGGAGGGGAGACTTTTATGCCATTTTTTTTTTCAGGCTGAAACAATTCAGCAAAATCGGCACAAATTTGCAAAACGTTTTGGTCGGCCCGAATCTGCATACTTTCGATTGAAATAACGGGTAGTCCAAAAAACGTTGGCCCTGCTCCACCAGTGAGGGCCCTGAGCAGAAGGCGATTGGCCTCCAAATTGCCCTGTCCCGTTCATTCCCTCTGAAGCATCTGGCACTGGCTGCTGTCAGAAGACAGGATATTGGGCTAGATGGACCATTGATCTGATCCAGTGAGGCCGTTCCTATGGCTACTCTGGGCTCGCTCTGCGTGATGTTTAGTGATGCATGTCGAAAAGGGCTCCGGTTCACCCTGGTGTGCAGTGGGAAATGTTTGGAAATCTCTAACACATTCGTGGGGTAGGAAAACCGTTGTCTGGCCAGCTGTCCAGAGAATTCTTTTCTATTTTTGTAAAGAAGCAAGCAGTCCCCAGCCCCGTGTGCTTGTTTCTCACCTAACATGTTCTCTCCATAAAATCCCATTGCCCCAGTGTTCTGTTGTGATGTTCCTAAGCGCCGCGGCATGCGAGGGTATTACTGTCGCTCTCTGGGTTGTCGGAGCAGCTCCTTGGGTGGTTGCTGCAGTACCATGGCTGGGATTGCTTCCTGGATGCTGGGACATATGATGGCTAGTAGCTTTCTCAGGCTACCATGGCAGGAGGCTGCAGCATCTATCCACGGGGTGGTAGCAATGGTGGTGGTTGGTCCTCCTCTCGGTGCAGTCTGCATTCTGCTCCAATTCCTGCATGTCATGGAGATGCCCCTGCCCTGTATCCCCTGGGGTGAGGCCACACCTGACCCTAATGCAGGGGTGGGCAAACTTTGTGGCCTGAGCGTCACGTCTGGGTATGGAAATGGTATGGCGGGCCATAAATGCTCATGAAATTAGGGGTTGGGGTGTGGGAAGGGGTGCGGGCTCTGGGGTGGGGGATGAGGAGTTGGGGGTGCAGGAGGGTGCCCCAGGCTGGAACTGAACGGTTTGGAGGGTGGGAAGGGGATCAGGGCTGGGGCAGGGATTTGGGGCCTGGGAGAGGGTCAGGGGTGCAGGCTCTGGGCAGCGCTTACCACAAGCAGCTTCCGGAAGCAGTGGCACGTCCCCTCTCTGTCTCCTACGCAGAGGCACGGCCAGGCAGCTCTGCGCATTGCCCTGTGGGCAAGCACTACCCCTGCAGCTCCCATTGGCCATGGTTCCTGGCCAATGGGAGCTGCAGGGGCCGTGCTTGGGGTTGGGGGCAGCGTGTGGAGCCCCCGGCTGCCCCTACACTTAAGAGCTGGAGGGAGGACATGCCGCTGCTTCCGGGAGCCGTGCAGAGCCACAGCATGCATGGAGCAGGGCAAACCCCGGACCCTGCTCCCCGGTGGGAGCTTGAGGGCCGGATTAAAACGTCTGAAGGGCCGGATGTGTCCTCCCCCGAGCTGTCGTTTGCCCACCCCTGCCCTAACATCTGCCTTTTATGTGATTGAAGCTCCTCCTCCTAGAGTCTTGACTCCTCCCCCCTGTTATGGGCCGAGCGGCTCCCTTGAGAACTTCCTCCCCAGCAATCCTAGCCCTAGGAGCTGCTCAACGCCA